CTGGCTGGCTGGATTGTCTGCTCGGTCTGCCGTACATACATGGCGGCACAAGATGGCGATCTCTCTAAAGCAAGGCCCTTGATATATACAGCACAGGCCAAAAGTTTGGACACACCTTCTCATTCAATGCGTTTTCTTTATTTTCATTGTAGATTCTCACTGAAGGCATCAAAACTATGAATGAACACATGTGGAGTTATGTACTTAACAAAAAAAGGTGAAATAACTGAAAACATGTTTTATATTCTAGTTTCTTCAAAATAGCCACCCTTTGCTCTGATTACTGCTTTGCACACTCTTGGCATTCTCTCCATGAGCTTCAAGAGGTAGTCACCTGAAATGGTTTTCCAACAGTCTTGAAGGAGTTCCCAGAGGTGTTTAGCACTTGTTGGCCCCTTTGCCTTCACTCTGCGGTCCAGCTCACCCCAAACCATCTCGATTGGGTTCAGGTCCGGTGACTGTGGAGGCCAGGTCATCTGCCGCAGCACTCCATCACTCTCCTTCTTGGTCAAATAGCCCTTACACAGCCTGGAGGTGTGTTTGGGGTCATTGTCCTGTTGAAAAATAAATGATCGTCCAACTAAACGCAAACCGGATGGGATGGCATGTCGCTGCAGGATGCTGTGGTAGCCATGCTGGTTCAGTGTGCCTTCAATTTTGAATAAATCCCCAACAGTGTCACCAGCAAAACACCCCCACACCATCACACCTCCTCCTCCATGCTTCACAGTGGGAACCAGGCATGTGGAATCCATCCGTTCACCTTTTCTGCGTCTCACAAAGACACGGCGGTTGGAACCAAAGATCTCAAATTTGGACTCATCAGACCAAAGCACAGATTTCCACTGGTCTAATGTCCATTCCTTGTGTTTCTTGGCCCAAACAAATCTCTTCTGCTTGTTGCCTCTCCTTAGCAGTGGTTTCCTAGCAGCTATTTGACCATGAAGGCCTGATTGGCGCAGTCTCCTCTTAACAGTTGTTCTAGAGATGGGTCTGCTGCTAGAACTCTGTGTGGCATTCATCTGGTCTCTGATCTGAGCTGCTGTTAACTTGCGATTTCTGAGGCTGGTGACTCGGATGAACTTATCCTCAGAAGCAGAGGTGACTCTTGGTCTTCCTTTCCTGGGTCGGTCCTCATGTGTGCCAGTTTCGTTGTAGCGCTTGATGGTTTTTGCGACTCCACTTGGGGACACATTTAAAGTTTTTGCAATTTTCCGGACTGACTGACCTTCATTTCTTAAAGTAATGATGGCCACTCGTTTTTCTTTAGTTAGCTGATTGGTTCTTGCCATAATATGAATTTTAACAGTTGTCCAATAGGGCTGTCGGCTGTGTATTAACCTGACTTCTGCACAACACAACTGATGGTCCCAACCCCATTGATAAAGCAAGAAATTCCACTAATTAACCCTGATAAGGCACACCTGTGAAGTGGAAACCATTTCAGGTGACTACCTCTTGAAGCTCATGGAGAGAATGCCAAGAGTGTGCAAAGCAGTAATCAGAGCAAAGGGTGGCTATTTTGAAGAAACTAGAATATAAAACATGTTTTCAGTTATTTCACCTTTTTTTGTTAAGTACATAACTCCACATGTGTTCATTCATAGTTTTGATGCCTTCAGTGAGAATCTACAATGTAAATAGTCATGAAAATAAAGAAAACGCATTGAATGAGAAGGTGTGTCCAAACTTTTGGCCTGTACTGTATATATATAAAAGCATAATTATAAGGCTACGAAAACCAAACGAATTTTATTTTATAGCAATCATACACTTGTATAAACATATTAATGGGTAGAATATTCAGATTCAGATTCAGATTGACAATAAACCATGCCAAATATTACACACTGGCCCTTTAATTCAAGGAACATTTTGCAGCTGAAGGCCAGGGGGACCCCTAATATAGGTTCCCCTGGGCATGCCCCGTAAGCCAGTTCAGTAATCAGTCTATGGACTTATATTTGTATGATCAATTGCCGTGGACCAATTTGGGCCAGAATGCCAGGGCTTAATATTTGCCCTAGTCCAGTCCTGCTTGTCCCTATTGGGCTATTACATCTCCAATGTAATTAAAATATACAGCTTTCAACATCATTCAACCACAATACACTACAAATATGGAAATATATAAACATCACACAATACACCATTAAGCAATAGACCTTGGAAATGCACAGTACAAGTCACTATAAATAGGTGCAGCTCTGGTTTGCTTTTAGCCAGCATTTAATCTTTGTTGTAAAGGATTTTATATCTGGAATTAATTAATCTGATTTCAGTTTGTAATGTGGTAACAAGTTGACAGCCCTTTATGGAGGAGATGATTGTCCAAATTTAGATCTACAATGTGGTATTTTAAAGTTGCCATGCACCATGCTCCGAGTTACTCTGTTACTATTATGTCTTTGGATATATCTGGAAAGAGGCTCCAGCGCTGGACTGTTAATACACTCCAACATTAATTTGAGAATACAAAAATGAGTAAAGCCCAATATCAATATACAGCTGTATATCTTAGTAATAAAACAAGTATGTATTTCGCCGTAGAATTTGATGATTTCTTAGAAACTTCTGCAATTTTTGCTTCGTTGACCCCTTGGATTCAAAAGGAATCTGGTGATCAGATAGCCACTGTATTATTACTTAGAGTTGGAAAATCAACATTTTGTGTCAGTTCTACTGATTTTATAAAGTAGGCTACGTGTTAAATTCATGTGCCATGGCATGATCTGTAATCCCTCTTTGACTGTATAACTTGCTGGTAAAACTGTTTAAGTGTTTCCACAGGGATGCATTGTTGCCTTTGGCGTTTCCTATAAGTTGTGTACAATATGAGGCAGGGCCGTAATCACCTGTTTAAAGCTAGGGTTCTCATAGTTTTGATAGTGGAGTGTCATTTTAGGGAGCCAGCATGAGATTGGTGGTGGTCACTACTAAACAGTGCCTCAGTGCATTGGTATCTGACACCTAGGCCCACTGCCCAAGCGTTGGTATTTGATGTGTTGGTAGTGAGACCAGGTTGATTTACTTTTGATTATGGTTACATTTGCTAATGATTATTACTGCCTGTTGTAGCCTAGTCATTTTTTTCTTTGTATTTTTATCAGTATACTGGAGGGGGGCATTTGGAGCATATTTGAGTACTGGGGTGGATTTGCCCCTCTCATTGTATATCATATGAATGAATTAATTAATTTATTCACCATAAAATTCATCATAACATCAAAACAAGCCATGACCAGAGTCCAATGTTCATATTTTCAGACAACATAAAAAAGAAAGAAAATAGAAAAATGGGGCAAAGCAACAAAAGTATCCTGTATAATCACATCAACATTGTGTAAGATGAGTTCATGGATTACTCACAGAGACATTTACCGTGTAGCACTGAAAAAAAATCACAATAAGTACTAATCAAACAAACTGTCTTGCCTTCTTTTCCAGGCTTTACGACAAAATAGGCAAAATTACACACAACAAACATAAACAGCCATTCTAGCTTTTGGTCATCTGAGCACCAGAGAATGTCAGAGTGTAGATGAGCCGTTTCATGACACATTAACTCTTGAGTCATTATAGTTTTTACAGTATAAAAGAAAAGGGGACTCACTTCCCACTTCACCTAAATTACACAACTCACACATTTTGTTTTCCTCCTGAATATTGTTGAATCACCCAACCTCAGTGGTCAGAGGAAGAAAACCAGCTCCCAGCTGTGCAACTCAGGATCTCTGGCTTCTAGATAAAAAAGATAGGCTATTATAATAACTGCCTAGATCCAAGGCTTTTGCTTTGAGTAATTCCAGGACTATTTTATTTCTTAAACACTTCACTCTGTATAATTGCATAAGAGATCTATGTGGTATAAATTGGTGGTTGTAGGTTCTAAAATAACATGCTCCCTGTGAAACAAGAATGTGTGTCTTTGTGTGCATACATGATATAGTGAGGACCAGAAAAAGTATTTTAGCAAGAGTGAGGACATTTTTTTAATGTGAGGACACTCTGGCTAGTCGTCGCGTCTTCATATGCCTGTCTGAGGTTATAGGGTTCAGGTTACAGCCATGTTTAGCTCAGGGCAAGGGTTGTGGTTGGGTTGGTTAAGGTTAGGGACTGTTCTTGACTTAACTTGTTTGTTTTTTGTTTTGTTCTGTTTTGTTTTTCATTATTTTGACTCTCCCCAAAACTACATATTTTTCCTTGAGCATCACTGAGTGGCTGGTGGAAAATGCATGACCCTCCATCTACCACAAATTAGTTATTATATTTTTAAAACGTACCCTTTGATGTTCGAAACTTAAAAGTTAAAGGCAATTTCTTAGAGTTGAAAGAAGCCTCTGTTTGTTGCTCTTGTCGTGCATGCTGGTTAGTTCATGCAAACCATTTATTTTTGGCCAAATTTTAAATGGTGCATAGAGTAAAGTGATTGTGATGAAATATAATTATTTTAAGCTCAGATTTTTGTTTTGTTTTTGTTTGTTTGTTTGTTTGTTTTATCTGACAGAAGCATTTGTCACACAACTTGTCCGAGGACTATCGGAAATCTTAAAAATCCAGAACAATTTCTGACTATGGTAAATGGTGTAATTTTGGCATTTTTTTGAGAAAACATGACTGGGGTTTGGAAAGCATGTTTTATTAAAAATCTGCAGTAAAATAAATACAAAAAACAACCTTTAAAATGTGTATACTCTTCCTCTAAGCCAAAATTAAAAATCTAAGTCCTTCTCCACAAGCCTCCCCCTTTTTTCACCACTCCCTCCCCCCTCATAAATAACGAACAATCCCTTGGCTTAAGGACGTATGGAATGCATTAGGCCAGTGTCAACTATGGTCCTCACAAGGATAGAAGTGCAACAATGTGTGTGTGTGTGTGAGAGAGAGAGAGAGAGAGAGAGAGAGAGAGAGAGAGAGAGCGATTCCCCTTCTCCCATCGTCCATTGCGACACAGGAAGCGCTCTCTGCTTTTGGCGCGGTCTTGATAGCGGCGTCGGCCATCTTGGAATCACATTAGTGTTTCAGGTTACTCTCTGAGACCCTGCATGAGCACGCGACTCATTGATTGACCTGCTATCGTTAATTGAAAATAAAGTTATTTGCGTCCCCATTTATCGGCGACAGCGGATACACTTGTGTTTTATTGCTCACGGAGCGGAGAAGCAAACTCAGGATTTTAAAAGAAAACCGTCATGGCGACAGCTAGCGTTACCCCGAGCCGTGAAGCTGGCCGGTCGGCGGCCTCTACACCTCTCTCCCCGACCAGGATCTCCCGCTTACAAGAGAAACAAGATTTGCAGCACCTGAACGACAGGTTGGCCGTTTATATCGACCGTGTCCGGTCTTTGGAGCTGGAGAACGACCGGTTGATGGTCAAAGTGTCTGAGAAAGAGGAGGTGACCACTAGAGAGGTGAGCCCAACACCAGCTTCAACTATTCTCTCTTATTCATTCACTCATCCACATGTAGCCGCACAGCAGCCGACCACTCCGCGTAACCTTACGTAAACGTCCACTCTCAGCTCCGGTGAATATAACTAAAGAAAACGACTGTGTGTGATTAAGACGGAGTCGACGCAAAGTATTACAAACAAATACCGATGTTTATCTATAACGAACTCACGTTAGTTGTAGTTATGGCTGCCTGCTGGCCGTTAAAACGTGAACCGACTAACGAGTTGCTTGGATAATGTGTTCACAACCAAGTGCACTAGTTTATCAGTGCACTACACTGGTTTACCGGCACAGATGACCGTTACGGTAACCTGACCTCGTTAACGGTAGCAATACACATGCATTTCCTAATCTGCATTCAAATGTAACGGGACCGGGAAGATTGAGCGGGTGGTTCTGCGCGCCAATATATAAATATGACCTCACGAGTCCTCATTGACTGATGTGTAACGTTCATTCACTTGACATCATAACCTGCAGTATCTTGAAGCAGATCATGTTTCAGATTTAAAATATATTAAACTGAACCAAAGTCATACTGAGGCACTCATATCTGTGATTGCAGCTTGTCCCTCAAATTCATGGTAGCCCTTCCTTTATGCATAATAATATTTTGATTTTATTTAAACAGGAGCATCCCATTGAGATTAAGAATCTCTCTTTAAAGGGGGATCTGGCCCAGGCAGCAGCATAAATAAAACACATAGTTATGGACAGAAAACAAAAACAAAACAAAAAGAGACAAAATAAAACATAAAGCAAAATAAACTCACAGATCAAAAGATGAAATTAAATTAGTTTCGCAATCAGGTAAATTAAAAACATTGACATCTGAAGGAATCTACCTCTAATGCGTTCATTCAGGATTTAAAATCCTTTAATGAGATTATTGCCTTGAGTTTCAAGTCATTCTGCAACATATTCCGTGACAAGGGTGCAGAATTTATATTAATGCCTTTTCCCCAAAATTCTGTAGCAGAATAATGGAGTCTGGATATAGCAAATATCACGATAATATCAAGCTTTGGTTTGTCATTGTTGGTGGTGAAGATTCAGGCCCATCCGGTTGAAGCTGTGACCTCCTGAGAATTGTGTTTATCAGTAAGTTCATTAAAGCTGAGGGATCCCGTGCTTCCACTTACAGGCCCAGAGAACATAGTAGTTATTAAACAAGCGTGTGTACCAGCAAAAAACTTCAATTTTTAAGGAGCTACCAGTTAACCTGCTTGTTACTGCGTATTGTGATTTAAATGATCATATTATTTTTATTTTAACATGGGTGGGAATAAAATCAATATTCAATGCTGTTTGGACTCTTGCTGAAATTGAAATTGATTCCTGGTTCTAAAAAATAGAGAATAATCCAAGGGGTTGATATGGTGGAGGCTTGTTTCCAGCACTGATGAGACAATGAGTCTGTTAATACCTGGTATTATCACGCGTCTCGTGTGAGCCGACCACAGGCAGACAGCTCTATGTCTGCCTCTTCACACCTGACATAAAAATGCTTTTCCACGTGTGTTTCTGGTGAACATTTGTGGTCAGATCTGATTTCCCCGCTCAGTATGCAAATAAACGTGTGAATCATTTCTGTTTGCAGAGATTAAATGTGTTGTGGTTCTTACAACCGGCGGGAGGTTTGCAGTGCTATATGCACACTCAAAACCTTTATTACTTAAAATTAGTCAAATTTAATTTAATTGTAGAGCTGCATTGGTGTTCACGCTGCTGAAAGAATGTGGCCATATTTGGCCCAGACCACCTCTAAATGTGGTTTGAGTGGTGGGATCACAATGTGTCTTTGTGGCCACGTACACTTGTGTTTAGAGCTGTCCACTTGTGATCGCATCACCTGAGAAACCCAGGTATAAACAGGCTCAATAAGTACGATCCAGATAGGCCAAATCACTGAACAGTGGTGTATAATGCTGTGAGACAGGGTTTTACAATTCTGGTTATTGCAGAAGTAATTACTTTGTCTTTTGTCACATGGATTGTGGTACAGTAGATGTTACAAAGTACAGTCCCCCACACCACCACCTTATCGTGTATATGTGATTTATTTTTTACCGTCTTCTGCCTGTGTAGGAACAAAGTTGTGTTTGCTGGTCATGTGTAGGTGGAATGTCTTTTGGTCTGACTATACACTGAGTGCTCCAGTGAGCTGTTACTAATGGTATGTCTCATGATCTCCTCCCCGCTGCAGTACTTGCACCAGAGATATCTATCATTATCTACAATGCTGTCCCAGCACAGGTCTTGAAAAATAAATGAAGCAGGCTAGAGAGCCTTGGTTTCCGAATAGTTTCGGTTCATGCCACATAAGTGCCAAGTTGCTGGTTCAACTCCAGCCTTTGTTGCACGTCACACTCCCTCTGTCTCCCCCACTTTCCTGTCTGCCTCCTAGCCTCAACTGAACTGTTCAATAAAGGCCACACCACCCCCGCCCCTAAAACACACACTCACATACACACTTAAAATTTGACTTTTTTTTTTTTTTCCTTTAACATTTAACATTTAGTAAGCTGCATCTAACTGTGCAACTTCTCAACCAAACAGTTTGGCTAGGTATGAACAACAGGACATAAAGTACTTTGTTGTGCACCAGTACAAAGGCAATAGTAGAAAGTAACTGTCCAATCAGAGCTGAGTATGTAAATTACACGCTCAAAACTAAACACACCCGTATGCTTCAGGCTCTTGGGAAGGCTGTAACTGTGAGTTTGCGTGTGTAAACAAGATGTGAGGGAGTGTTCTTCCCCCGCCCCACAGCTGCCCAAATTTATCAAGCAGGTCTTGTGTCTGTTTTGAAGCACATTCTTTTGTGAGAAGCTATTCTCTGACATTTTTAAGTCGAAACACAGATCCGGACTAACGGTCCTTCTCCGCGCCATCCTGAGGACGTTTGCTGGCAGCTGCCTGAAAGCACATGTGGCTCTTATGGTTCAGCACAAGTGCTGCGCTGTGTCTGAGAGCAAACGGCAGGCAAACTGGGCTTAAATGACCGTGTGTATAGCTAATATATTGTTGAAAACTATACTGGAAGTTCAGTCAAATTACTGCAAGTAATTAGAATTTAGGCCCTCGGTTTAGAAAATAGTTTGCAATCTGTTAATCCTGACACTGGATCCTTGCCCATAGTGGAAGCTGCATAAAACTAAGTTTATTAAAAAAGAAATTGTTGCTGGTCAGGGAGTAATAAAGAAAGCAAAGGCATTTGTAGATGTTGAAGACATTTGAGAAGTCCTCATCACTATGCACAGTGCCCTATGCACAGAACAGGGTTAGACCAGATTGAGCAAGTGATCAGCAGGGCTGCATGTCTCAGTATAGGCCACACTCTGAAAGGCTATATAAAGACTGACAAACTTCTATAAATGGCTGGTATAGACAGCATAGTGGACAGAATTGAAGTACCTTTGCTGACTGTGGTATTTAAGTCTGTGCAGCACGTTGCCCCCTGCCCTCCTGTACCTAACAGAACTGTTAGCTCTACCACCAGCCACTAATGACTGCATAAAGTTAGCTCAGTGGCAAAGCATCTGGAGAGGTGGGATCTGCATCTCTTGGAAATCCCTGCCACCAAAAAGGCTGCGTTCAGAAGCAGCCTGCAGTATTGTAAAGCCTCTATCTGGAACTAGCAGGGTCTACAAGGGAGAAAATTAGTCTATAGGCATTCAGCTTAGGGCTGGGCGGTATGACCTAAAATTCATATCACGGTATAAATCGAATCCCTTCACAGTAACGGTATATATCGCGGTATAAATTTAAGTGTAAAAGTTATAATAGAAGTGTTTCTGAATGGGTTTTGTAGTCCCTTAGCAAAGCTAAATTGATAAAAAAAAAACAACAACAACAAAAGCAAAGATATAATGTATTTTTTAGAGCATTTATTGTGCAGAATGCAGATCTCAAAACTCAAAATTAAAACCCAGCACTCTATGGTGCAAAATGTCCCCTGGGATCTATATCAAAAGGTGATTTCCTTCTTTTAGCAAAATCCTAAATGACTGAGTTGTGTTTTTTCCACCTGGACCTTTATGCTCTGCCATTTCTCCTCTAATCATCAGGCTGTAACCTGTGACAGGCTGTTATGATACCACAACTATCACACATTCACATATGGAGTTTTTTGTGGAGCCCCTAGCGTCACATAGGTTTACATTACCAAAGGTTTATGACAAAATCTCTTTCCGAAAACCAACTCCCATGAGCGCACGGCAAGAGAGGAGAGGGAGAGACGCTGTGCTGCTGCCAGAGGAGACGCTGAATGAGTTCCCTCTGAGCGGTAAGTCGCTAAAAGAGTCTGAGAAGTCCGGGGCTGTTCATAAAACGTTAACTCACTCACTCACAAGTTCTCCAGCAACACATGTTGCACGTGCTACGCTAAATCACGGACGTGAACCAGCTCCTCTTGCTCCGCTGTCTCTGTACTTGCAGCCATTTTCACACTGAGGCAGGTGCGGTGACATCATCGACGATAGGATGGTAGAGCGCAAATCTCTACCATGGGCCAAATTTATATAATTTCTACCGTCTATCACATATACCATGCAGCCCTAATTCAGCTGTAAACTGAAATCTGGACATCAGAACTCTTGAACAAATTATATGAACTGTTTAATATGTACCCAGGACTCATGGGAAAGCAGGATTGATTCTGAGTGGCTTATACTTGTGAAATAAAGCAAAGTGAATTGTAATTTTTCTTTTTCCAGCAAGCCAAATCATCCTATAATGAATTTGTGTGTCCATCTCTTTAGGTGACAGGCCTGAAGTCTCTGTATGAGGCAGAGTTAGCTGATGCTCGACGGGTTTTGGATGAAACTGCGAAAGAGCGAGCCCGGCTGCAGATAGACCTGGGCAAGGCTCAGGCTGACCTGGAAGAAGCCACACGCAGGTGATATGATACAGTACAACTTATTATCGCGCAGGTCACATTGTTTGAGAAGGCCACTTGGAATATTAACATCTGTCTTCTTCTCATTCTGTCCATGTGTTCCAGTGCCAAGAAGAAGGACAGCGATCTTGCCGCGGCGTTGTCCAGGGCCAGTGGTTTGGAAAGCCAGCTGAACAAGAGTGAAGCATCTCTTGCTACAGCTTTAAGTCAGAACGCTGCTCTGACTTCTGAGCTGGCTGATGTCAAGGTCCTGCTGGCTAAGGTGTGTACTGCAAGGTTTTCTGTTGGGAAGAAAGGAGGGTAGAAAGAAACTAAAAAGGGTTAACTAGTCTGAAGAAAAAACTCTTTTAATGAGAGATAGTGCTTCAGTACCCTCCAGAGAGGTTAGGAATCTAATGAACTCAAATCTTGGCCCAAAATGAGACCAGAATCCAGACTGATATTTAAATCTTTTCAGGTCTTCTACCACAGTCTGTTCATGATGGGTCAGTCAAACATGTGTTGAGTTTCCATGTGCTAATATTTCCTGCAGGCAGAGGACAGCCATGCTGTTGCTAAGCGGCAGCTGGAGGCAGAGACCCTGATGCGCGTAGACTTGGAGAACCGCTGTCAATCCCTGAGTGAGGAGCTGGAGTTCAGGAAGAGCATGTTTGAAGAGGTAAGGGGTGTGTGTATAGTGTGTGAGGGCATTGACATGTGCTCAGCCACAATTCATTATTTCCATTATCAACTAACATGGCAGCAATGATTCATGTAGCAAATATTGGCAATTTTTTCTCTTAAGTTTATCTGACAGAAGTAAGAATTCATGTGGATTTCTGAGGCATCTCACAGTCGCACTCTTCCTCTTCCTCCTTGTGTTTAGGAGGTGCGTGAGTCTCGGCGTCGCCAGGAGCAGAGGATAGTGGAGGTGGATTCTGGAGTCCGACAGGACTTTGAGTTCAAACTGGCACAAGCTTTACAGGTATGTTGGGGAATTCATTTATAGTAGCTGTTGTCATATCTGTGGAAAGACTGGGAAATATAAACAATATATATCTATGTACACTGTAATATCAGTAAAAAGGAATTGTGGTGGCAGTTTCTACTAGACAAAACACATTGAGTCAGAAACTTGTCTCTCTGTAAGTTTAATTTAGCACCCGCACACGGACTCATAACAGTCAAGATTGAGCTGTGTGCGAAAAGTGAGCCCTGAACACAAGAGATGTCAGATACCTATAGTCACAGACAACAGCCGAGGTCAGGGATCTTTGACTAGCATCATCAGAAGATTGACAAAGCAGTCTGGGCCATCTAATCTAGTCATGTCCTTTGACATCAAGTGAAGTACTCACAGCTTGTTACACACTGGCAAAGAGTTAACGTCATGTGAGGCACTTGTGCTTGTGATATCCTGACAAGACATAAAATGCAAGATTACTTCACATTTTTCCTGCTTGGTGGCACATAGTACAGAGGCCTTAAAGTTTCCATTACATGAGTCTTAAATGTTGCATAGATTTTACATAATTACATAAATTCTTTATTTGACACTTGGCGTTAATTTTGTTTGTGTTTTCCCACTAGGACCTAAGGAGGCAACATGATGAGCAAGTCTCTCTCTATAAGGGAGAACTGGAACAAACCTTCCAGGCCAAGGTGAGAAACAAATCTTTTTCTTTTTTCCATCTCTTTATCTTTCAATGCTCTGACACTCACACAAAGTCTGTCTTGTTCTCATTCTAGTTGGATAACGCCAAGGTGTCCTCAGAGATTAATGACAAGGCAATGAGCACAGCCAGGGAGGAGCTGCAGGAGTCCCGTGTGAGAATAGAGGGTCTTGGGTATCAGCTGAGCGCCCTGCAGAAACAGGTACACCTTTAAGACCACCTGTACACACACATCTCACAGTTCGCCTATCGTCAACTTCAGGAACTGAATGCTAATTAGCTTTATGAATTGTAGGTTATGCTGGTCTGATGTGTGTGTTTGTATGTGCAGTTGGCCAACTCAGAGGATCGCATCAGAGAGCTGGAGGAAATTCTGTCTGCAGAGAGAGACAAGCACCGCCGTGCCATGGAAGGAAAAGAACAAGAGATGAGTGACCTGAGAGAAAGGATGAACGCTCAGCTCAGTGAATACCAGGAGCTGCTGGACGTGAAGCTTGCCCTAGATATGGAGATTAATGCATACAGGAAACTGCTGGAGGGAGAGGAGCATAGGTACAACACACACACACACACACACACACACACACCTTGGATACACACATACACTATGTGAAACTGCTAATTGTTGTAGGTGAAAGGGAGCTCAAGACAGACAGTTTGATCATGCCAGAGTCTCTCCCAGGTTGTCAGTCATTGTTATTTGGATAACAGTCATTACACCTCTTTGACTTAAGGCTGATTTATAGTTGTGTGTAGGCTATGCAGAGCTTACACCATAGCCAATGTAAGTGGCCTATGCTGTTGTGAGCATCTATACTTAGATGGTGGTGTGTCTGTGTCTCTGTGGTATTACACCTCCAAAACACTAGTTCGTGATTGGGTTTCTATGCCACTGTGTTAAGTTCATGTGAAGTGTAGTTAAGTTTGATTGATTCAACCAACAAACCCTTAAAGACACGGCTCCATTATAACTCACAAGATTCAAGAACAAAACTCCTGTCTTTTGCCGGGGGGTTTCCCCACAAATACAACATGCTAACGGTATTAGCATAAACCTATGACATTTTACACTGCATAAATTAGCCTAGTGGCTAGCGGAGTTTTTCTCAACTCAAGTGAAGCCAGGAACAACAGCAACATTTAACAAAGGTACATTACAAAATTCGGCTCCATTATAACTCACAAGGTTCATCCACAAATCAATTGTCTTTTACTAGACACATTTTCTCCACATACACAAATTGTTAACATTGTTAGTACAAGCCTATGACATATTCTGTTGCATAAATTAGCCTAGTGCCTAGCAGACCTCCTCTACTCATATAAAGCCAGGATTTATAGTCTTCACAAAAGAAAAAAACTAAATGGGAGGTTTGCTGCGATGTGTAGTTAGATTTCTGGGGAGGTGCATGCCAGACTATGGAATACATAATGCGTCTGTTCGTATTCAGACCCCTTCTGTTGTGCTTCTTTCAGGCTGAAGCTGTCCCCCAGCCCATCACCTCGAGTCACTGTTTCCAGGATAACAGGCTCTTCCTCCTCCCGCTCCTCCAAGAGGAAGAGGGTGGAAGCAGAGGCTAAGGATGCGGCAGAGGTGGCAAGAGGAGAAGGGCAGCTGCTGGTGTCTGAAGAAGCCACCGCTAGCGGAGCCGTCACCATATCGCCCACTGACATGGATGGAAACGCAGTCACACTGGCCAATGACACTGAGCAGGTGTGTAAGACAGGGTGCCGATCACCAGCAGTCACATAGTTGCAACAAACACTGAAAATGACATTATCAAGGTTGGATTTATTGAATCATCGTCATGTAGGGTTGAATAAAAACTGTGATAAAGTCAGCAGAGAGCAGCCTTCTGAGGTTTGGTGTCAGTATATCCTGTATGTTAAGCTTTCCTATGTTTTGCAGGACCAGCCGCTGGGCAACTGGAGGTTGAAGAGACAGGTTGACAACGGGGAAGAGATCATCTACAAGTTCTCCCCAAAGTTTGTCCTCAAGGCTGGACAGACAGTCACAGTGAGTAATATCATGTATAAGAGAATGTCTGAGAGCTGGGGGTGAATGGGATCTATTTGAGATCTAAGGTTGAGTCAGAGATCAAACAACCATTTCATACCTTTCCATGGGGTAGAAGCCAGCTGAAAAGCTCTTAGTGTTTCAGCTGACGTTATTTCTCTGTGTGTATGTTTGAGTGCCATCTAGCTGCTGAGTCGAAACATGTTTATTTACCTGCACTGTGTATACAGGTGTGGTCTGCTGATGCTGGTGTGGCCCACAGTCCACCAACTGACCTGTTGTGGAAGAGTCAGACTTCCTGGGGCACAGGAAATGACATAGTTACCACTTTGATCAACGCTGATGGCGAGGTAAAGATATCCATGCATGGCTGATTGTACTGATTTATATTGATTTGGAGCGCAGACTTCCTCATGTTACATTTTGAATGTTGTTCTCATGTGTTATTTTTGGTGAGGGCTGTTGAGCTTGGTAGTATGGTGTTTCTGTTTTGAAACGTGTTGACTGATTGTCCTACAGGAGGTGGCCACAAGGAGCGTAACCAAGACTGAGGTGGAGGTAGAGAATGGAGAGGAAGAGGAGGAAGAGGCACAGACGGTGAGTGGACTTGTTTTTCCTGCCAGATTAACCTGTGAGAAAAGCATGTGAAAACTGAATGTCAATAACAGGTGTTTCTTTTATTTTGTCCACCCTATTTATAGCAGTGAGTATGTTTACATGCACACTAATATTCCACCATGATTCCTAATATGACATTATTCTGAATTTGATACGGGTCATGTAAACAGCATATTCAGTTTGGATTTTCTAGAATAGGCCTTCCTCCAAATTAACTTTTTTTCACTAAGACATGTGGGATATGTAGATATAATTTAGGTTTTAGGCGTATTTTTTTAGCGCATATACAGCACATTCTGCATATGTGTCTCAACTGCAGTTTTTACAGCACTTTGTGAAACACGGCCCCCTGTCTGTTTATGGTTGCCTCTGTGCGTTGTCATGGATACGTTGCACACAAATCAACTCGCTAACGGTTTGCAAGGCTGAGTAATGGTTCATGGTAAAAAGAAGAGTCGACATCTGTGGTCAGAAGGGGAAACCCAGCTACTTTCAAACATAGCAACAGGTTTTTGGATATGCGCAAATATCACAACACCAACCCTTTCAAGGCAGTTGTTAACAAATAGTGGTAAATACTGTGTTACTGTCAGACGTTTTATTGCATCTAAATAAGAAAATAGGCTTTTAGTAGTTCCTCTTTATATTAACCCTTTTTGTTTTTAAGTTATATAAATGCTCCAAAAATGTTCATATACATACATATTTTATTATCACTAATGTGAAGTTTTCTGTTTCCCCTACAGGGCAAAGTGTCATCCAGAGAGTGTGCCATCATGTGAAGCCTTCCCCTTCGGCTGGCTTTCACTTCCCCATTATATATTTTTTTCTCTAGAGCCACTCAGTTATGATCTTATCCATTGCCTCATCGTTATGTGTTTTTTATTCTTCAAGACAATATAAGAATTTTTGGACTAATGGACTCTTTTTACTGCCCTCCACCTCTCTGGACCTGCTTTAATGAGTCCATTTTCAAATATTACTAGCAAAGTGTGTGGATCATGATGATGATGACAATGATGATGATGGATCCAAATATTCTGTCAGACTGTGGTCTTGCAGCTGAATTTTCCCCTCCCTTACTACTAACAGTACTCTACATGTCGATGATTTTTTTTTACCACTGGCTGTCTTTTGTTCTTCTGCGGTTCATTCATTCTTCATACACAGTAGAACACAATCTGTATCCTGTTTGAGTTCTCAAGATAAAGGACCTCCGCTGTATAGCCATAGAAATATGATAAATTCATAGCAAACAAAATATCGAGCAAGTCTTAATTGGATTTTGGAGAACAGTGTTTTTCTCCAAAATCAGGACTTTTAAGTGTTTCCCATTTATAACAAATTTGTGTGGATAGATAGATTTTTTCTGAATATTTTATTTATGTCTTCCGCTGAAAAGTCTAGTCCATTTTCTTTGTATCTAAATAGCCAAATATCATAAATCACAAATTTGCCTCAAGAGGCTTTACAGTCTGTCCAGCGTACGACACCCTCTGTCCTTAGATCCTCAATTCAGATCAGGAACTGATTTCCCGAATCCAAAACAACCTTTTGAATACACTGCTGGTTTGTGGTTAACTGGCAGGTGTTGGACTGAAGCTTAGACTCAAAACTGAATGTCAAACCTTTGGGACACACTTGTTCGTAGCAAGAGCTGTTGTGAGTACCTGTTGGAGCTCCCTGCAGCAGGGCCAACTCATCCTGGAAAAAAAAAACACTACAGGTTAATTTTGACTGACAACCCTTTGATTTCTGTTGTCAGTTATCTGTGCTGCCTTTGTGTGGTCTGTAGTGGAAAGAAAATATGCTGCGTCATGGAGAGCAGGCTGTTGACTCACTCGCCATTTGTTTTTTGTTTTTGTTTTTTTTTTGTTTTGTTTTGTTTTTTTCGCCGTACTGTATAAAACGTGTGAACGTATAATGGGGGGCATTGTTGTTAAGCTGCTAACCTAGCAGCAGAGGTAGTAATAGAGCCAAATCAATGTCTGTATAAAATAAAGGAGCCGTCACAGTAGTTGCCGACACTGCTGTTACATGTCAAGCCTATTTTGCTTCCAGGACGCCAGCATGCTATCTTAAGTCTCACACTGGGGCAGCATCGTGGTAGCATTTTTTTTGCTTTAGTGTAAAAAAGCAAAACCAACGTAATGGCGAATCTTTTTTAATGGCAGTATTGCAAAATCTGTTTAAAAAGCCTACCGACTCCTCCAGGCAGCTCAACACACATCTTTGAGAAGCAGTTGTTGTGAACTGCTCAAAGATCTGTTGTGCAGAGGGGCCAAGTCAGTAGCAGTGGTCAGTTAAAATCAAACTTCTTAAAGATATATTTGAATGAAAACCTTTAGTGCACACTAAAATGTGAAGAGGAGTGGTGACCTGCCTCAGGAACAGGTCTCTTGGCTAATGTTTAACAGTCTTTAATGAGCAGCCCAACAGTGACACCCAGGGACAGCATCTCCTGTATGAAAGGAGTGTTGTGTTAGGAAGTAGGTTTACAGCCATAAAACTAGTTTAACTCGTGGTTTTGTGTTCGTGTCAGCTCTGTCAGAATTATAGTCGCCAGGTTCTCTCTGCTGGGATCGTGATGGGACAGACTTGTTTCTCCTTGGACCGTGCAAAGCAGCATGACTGCTCTATCTGGTGGATGGGGGTTGTGGGCCACTGAATAGCCTTGTGACTGGCATTGTACACACAAGATAAAGAGTGAAAGCAACATGCTACAGCGTATGAGGTGATACCACACCGTACGAGCGTTGCTCTCACACCTTGTGTCATTTTGGGAAGCCCCATTTTTCTAGTGTGTCTGTATGCTGTGCTTTTCATCGCTAGTTTTTTTTTTTTTTTTTAAATAGAGTGCTTGTCTATGTATAATCAATTTGTTTACACATGATATTTCATTTTTATTTAGCGTTATGGATTTCTGGGATGATTAAGGTTGGGTGTTAATTACCTTAAATATATTTCAGTATTCTGAGGAAACGATACCGAACACTACTCCTGCAGTGTTCTGCTTTGAGTTAAAAGGCGTCACCTGGTCAGTGACTTTGACATTGGCAAAAGCAACACTTTGTCTGATAATTGATAAGTGACCAACTTTGAAGTCTGACATATTTAGACGAAACTGACTATTAAGTTAATACAGATCTGATTTTGATTGTTACAAGGCTCTGAAATACGATGGTAATTCGGTCCCTCCAGGAAGTCTCTTGGGTCAACCACAAGAATGAATGTTTATTTAACTAATCCCTGCAATATAAATATTTTCTAATCACCTATCCTAACTTTTTTACTTTTACTCTTTTTTCACAAGAACTGGTCAAGCTGAAGATGCTAATTTTACCAATCGGTGCAATTTTGATACAGAATAAAAGTTAATAGAACACTTTTCCAAAGTCGGATAATCAAAAATATTTCTTTGGAACTACATGTGGAGTTATTGTTGCATATTAGTATGCATGCACATCAGTTTGTTCTGCTGCACATGCACTAACTGACAAACCTCTGTTCCTGGAGGGACTGTTACATGACTTGGTTCTGCCCAGTTGTCCTACAATATAGATGTGATTGTTTGTGATAATATAGGGGGAGGGGGGAGGGGCGGGGCATGCCAAATGTGAGTTTTCATTCATGATTAACTGATGTTGAACTACTTTTTGTATACACACAATAAATGTTTTACATAAACACATCTGATATCAGGGGTGGTTGTTTGTGGTGTTCCTTGGAGTAAATATTTGTCATAAAATATCAAGGAAGAAAAATATTAGAAGTTAAGCAAGTGACAAAGACCTTCTATTTTTGGGTATTAATACCATTATTATAGAAAGCATTCTAGAAAGAGTTAACTCCAGTTGCTGGAAAGGAGGCTCCGAGTAATTGTTGACCCTCGGATTCAGTCGGAGCAATGTGGATTCCATCCTGGCTGTGAAACAGGGGACCAGCTCTTGACCTGCTGCAGGTCCCTATGTGACCAAAGTGAGAGCTGCATCCGCATACTTGGCTTAAAGTGAAATGCGTTCTCGGTGGATGTTGGTCTTGGCCAGAGTTGTCCCTTGTCACCGATACTGATTGTGATATTTATGGACAGGCTCTCAAGGTGCAGCAGAGGGGATGAAGGGGTCTGGTTTTGGAACCTCAGAATTGCATCTCTGCTTTTTGCAGATGTGGTTCTCTTGGCTTCATCACATCATGACCTCCAGCATGCACTGGGGCAGTTTGCAGCTGAGTGTGAAGAGGTTGGGATGAGAGTCATCACCTCCAAATCTAAGGCCATGGTTCTCTGCTGGAAACTGGTGGATTGCCCCCTCGGGGTTGGAAGAGACTTAGTGTCTCAAGCGAGGAAGTTCAGGTATCTCTGGGTCTTGTTCATGAGTGAGGGTAGAATTGAGTGTGAAATGGATCGGCAGTTTGTTGCGGCGTCTGCAGAGATGCAGGCACTGACTGTGCTGAACCATCGTGGTGAAGAGGGAGCTGAGCCGGAAGGCAAAGCTTTCTATTTACTGGTCCATTTATGCCCCAAACCTCACCTATGGTCACATGCTCTTGGTAGTGACCAAAAGAATAAGATACAAGCAGCCGAAATGAGTTTCCTCCGTGGGGTGGCTGGGCTCAGCCTTAGAGATAGGGTAAGGAGCTCAGACATCCGGAGGGAGTTCAGTCCTTTGCATCGAAAGGAGCAAAGGAGCTCCAACTGGAAGGAGGCCTTGAGGTGGACCTAGAACACACTGAAGGGATTACATATCTCATCGCACCATGGGAAATGTATTGATCAAATAATCCAAAGGCATAGCACAAGTGAATTTCTTTCACTTTTGTTGGAACAAAGTGGCTCCACCCTGTTTGTCTTGAATCGCAGAGAAGGTACTGTAATGGAAACTCCTTAAGAAATGAAACAGACCAGTAGAGAAAAAATAGAAATAAGCTCCAATAAAGAAGCACAAATGTCATAACGTAACACTAAATATTTTATAAATATATATTCTAGTAGTATAGTCTTATTTATTTGATACTGAACACTTTTACTTGTCTCACTCCACACCTCACAGTCACAGGAGCACTCAGCAGGAACATGTAGGAGCTGATTACGTCCACTAGATGGCAGTAATGCAGTGAAGACAGCAGCTGCAGTTAAACACCATAGAAGAAGAGGAAACGGCCCAAATGGTTTTCCGGGTTGATGGATGTGTTGGTTTCTGACTGTTGAACTGTAGTTATCTAGGACTGTTCTTCAGGATGCTGCTGGTTTTGTCCGAGGACCATAAAGAGCATCTCTCCTTCCTGCCGAAGGTTGATACCGCAGGTCAGTAACTGCTCCTGGATCAGGTCTATGACTACATGTTGGCTGCTGTAACGGTACATCGTGACTGTCAGCTGATCTTAAAACAGTGACAGTGTTCACTATTGAACAGTTTTAAAGTATTAAACGGGCTATGCAGCATTAGTGTTAACTACACACACAACTGTTTAAAATGAGGCGATAGCTTTAAAGAAAATGTTTATCCACTGTTGAGTTAGGAGCTGGTTTATAATCACAGCACTAACATCAAGGTGATACAGTGTGAAACCAACAGTTATAGATTACTATTACACCAACATCAGAAGTTATGACAACAGCAATAGCAATTCAGTTTTATCAAGTATACAGGGAGAAACTGACTGAACATTTGACTTAAAGTTAAACTTGTGTTGTGACAGAAAAGATTGTAAATTCAAAAAGAGACATTTACCTAGTTAGACTCAGTGATGTTTATAATGCAACACCAGACTACATGACCACAGCATGAGAGACAGGAGTTTGTCAATAAATTGATTTCATTGATATCGTGATATGAGACAAGATACTGTCATAGATCTTGGATATTGCAAGTGTTGCCTCTCCTTGTTGCATTACAGTAAAGTGTTGTAATTTTCTGAACTGATTTGCCTTTACCCCCTTAGTCATTACATCCACATTGCTGATGATTACTTATCAGAAATCTCATTGTATAAATGTTTTGTGAAAGCACCCATAGTCAACCCCACAATATCGTCACAATATCAATATATCGAGGTACTTGGTCTAAGAATATTCTGATATTCTAAGATATTCGACTTTCTCCATATAGCTCAGCCATATCAGCTCCTCACAGTTAACAGGAGCTAAAGGGAGTTGCATAGTGTGTCACTAAAACTAAATGTATCTAAGTATATCTGTTAATCATATTAGTGTGTTGGCCCCAGCATAACCTCACACACTTCTGATCTGAGCACATTAGTGACTGTGCTAATGTTTATCAAAGCTACAAAATGTTGTAAAGCAAAGAAATAATTGTCTGTGAAATTCCTTACACTCTGACCATTTAATATTTTTTTTATATGTGTATACCTATCAGGGAAAGTTCTATCAAGTAATGGAGAAAGGGTAACAGCAAGAGAAGGATTGTTTTGGACAATTAGGATTTCATGCACATTTTCCCAGCTCAATTTATAGAAATATACTATATTATATTAGTGCATATGTTTCTTAGAAGCCAGTTAGCACAGTTCTGTGATTTACAGCTGTAATATGCCACTGTAAACAGTCCAGTTTCTTACTTAGTACACCTAGTGTGGGATCCATGGGAGTGTAATACTACAACTGATGAAGAGCGTGGACAATTTGATGAAAGGCAACAAGAGAAAGAGTCAGGATTTGCAACATAGACATTGGAAACTTTGTGATATGCAATACCAATCAAACCATTTCTCATAACAAAGCAGCCCTCTGCATCTGGCTGACACCATAGGAGAATTTGTGTTTGATTATAACAGGCACCCGTCTCTTGTTAAGGGACAGAGCACGGCAAAGCTCCACACAAGAAAGGGGGATTTTTTTCAAAAGTATTAGTTGGCCTTTTTCGGCATTCATTTGTTTCTGTGAAGAAAAATGAATGAAATTGTTGTTTTTAAATTTAACGTCATTATTTAACATATAAACTTGAAGTACATCTCACATGATGAGGGCACCATGAAGCCCTGAATACAAGCTATATTCATGGAGCCTTCACACTCTGATAAACAGCTTCATCTTTGGTTAGAAAGTATGCAGTTAAAACAGCCAAAGAGCTAATAGAACAATGGCAAAGTGTCAGGTAGAAGAAGACTCTAAAACTGTCAAAAAAAGAAGCATATGAAGTTTGTATGATTGTTAAAAATAAAAAACTACATAACACAGACAGAGAATCATATAAAACGTTTCTAAAATATCAGGAAAACTCATCTCTTGTGTGATACTCACAGGAAATAATCTGCTCAAAATTCATCTGCATCGCTTATTTTACAGAAACATTCTGCTATTGTTGCATTTAATGTTTGTGTTGTTGTACAATTGTGCAGTGTTATTGCTATGCATTGAATATAATATGAAATATCCACTAATCAGGGGTTGTCAGTGTACTTAATAATAGAAAATGGGTCCCATAAGGAGAAAGGATGGGAACAACTGCTCTCTGTGGTTCTCAGTTTGACAGGTGCTGTTTCTCTATAACAGCTGAATGACTGGATAAATAAATACATTTATGATTTCATAAATATAAGAATAGTTCCTCGGGAGAATAGTGACATCCCCTCTGTTTATATGAATAAAAACTGAACACACTGATGTAGTAAACTCCACTGAGCTTAATGTGTCCATGCATTTTTTGTCCACAGTGGTTGGAGAGTTTGGTCGGATAGCGTTGGAGTTCTTAAGGAGAGGAACCAGTCCCAAGATCTATGAGGGAGCAGCAAGTAAGAATACAGCTTTCATTACATCTTCCTTACCAAGCAGCTGACTGGGCCATTGAAACTGCTGCTCAAAGTGCTAGATGACACTGTGGGCAGTAGTGGACCAGTCACGGGCAATATATACTGTAAATCATTTCTGCTCATATAGGGTATTTATTAAGGTTTAAACTACTTTATGTAGTATTCTGTTAGGTTATGTTGCTTTAGAAATGTATTTAGTCGTGATCATTAGGTGTACCTTGCTAAGTAAATGCAGCGTGACACAACAGCCCCACAATAATAATGTGTTTCTAATATTTAGTCTACCTTTATTTGTTATAAGTGAGGTGATATTACACTGGGCAGTTTAACATCATAGAGTTCAACAGCAGCACAGACTACATCCACCACAACTCATACAGTGTCAGATCTGCAGTTAATAATGAAAGAAAACATAATTATACATAATGATTTAAATCATTTGGTACAGCTTGATTTATTAATTGCTAAAAGAGAAAAGGTGCTCCTGTGAGCTGGTTCATTAACCAATAAATACAATGATTCAAACAAGTTTAAAGTTCATTATTTATGTTGATAAACCCAGCTCAATAAATCAGTAGGACATTTTTTCATATCATGCAGCTTTGACACGCAAGCTGCCAGGACGTCAGAGTAAATGCATAATGACCCTCTGCTTGCAGGAAAACTATCTGTTCCTGTGGAAATGGTGCAGCATGGAGTGGAAGGCCTGATGTTCCTGATGACAGAGAGCTCCAAACACATGGTGACTAACACACACACACACACACACACATTGTAACTGCTCTCTGTGTTTAACATGAAGACAGCTTCACATTGTCTAGACCCCCCCTCCACAAAAGAACCCCAGTCTGTTCTGATTATTCAGCGTTTCCGGGTTCGTATCATCTCACACAAATTTTTTGCCTGCTCCTGTCCTGCTGTGCTGTGATTGACAAGTACACACCACATTGACCACTTAAGAATTAGCACCAACCAATCACAGCACAGTAGGGTAGAACTAATTAAAACACGCTTGGGAAAAAATAATACAGGTGTCTCCGCACTGTCATTGCAGCAGGGTAATGACTGTGTAAAGCGACACTTTGTCCTGTTTAAATTGCCATTAAATGCTTGTATGTTCCAGTTGTAATATAATCCAAAATTAACAACATCAGCAATGTTAGCATGTAGCTACATGTAGCAGTGTACTTGCAGCCGTGGAATGACTGTGTATAGGAGCACTCTCTGCAATGAATATTCCCAATGAAAGCTTGTGAACACAACTCGACATGTTCCAGCAGGAGTATGATCCAAAATTAGGTAGAAATTAACAACATGGGCAACCAATGTTACATGTTTCCCTGACGTTTGCATGTAGCTACTTGTAGCAGAGTAGGCTACGTAATGTAAACACTTGCAGTAGTGTGTCTAAAACAGATGACCACATAAAGAAATTCAAACATGATCTGAGCTTCTGTTTAGTCCCTGTGATCATGTCAGCATGCACATTATCAGGGTCTGGAATGTAATAACTGGAATTGTGAGATATGACATGTCACCGTCTGTGTGTAACATTTAAGCATGTGTGGTATTTTTTCAGCGTGCTTTGTGCCATTGTGAAACACTAAAACACCCAAAAACTAGTGAGCCAGATGTTTCACTAGGTGTGGTGTCGACTAACTTTTCAGTGTCCCTGTTTTGTGTGTGTGTGTGTGTGTGTGTGTGTGTGTGTTTGTGTGGGTGTAGATCTCTGAAGTGGACTTTCTGGACTCAGTGTTGGTTTTGGGGTTTGGTGAAGAGCTTAACCAGATCCTCTTACAGGTGACTTTTGAATCTGTTTTATTGATCTGAGTTGATTTGCAGTTACTCTTTGAATATCAGTTCCTTGATCTCCAGCTGAATGTGTGAGGGTTTATGTTGCAGCTCTACCTGCAACACCACAAACAGATCCGCAGCATCTTGAGTCAGCTGCCCTCCAACCTGCCCGCCTACCAAAACCTGGAATGGAGACTGGATGTACAGGTGTGTGTGTGTGTGTGTGTGTGTGTGTGTGTGTGTGTGTGTGTGTGTGTGTGTGTGTGCGTGTGTGTGTGTGTGTGTGTGTGTGTGTGTGTATCATCATGTGAGCCTGCAGGTATGAAATAAGCAAAGGAGGAGGTCAGAGTACCCTACAAAGTAAAAGAACAGCATAGGTATATTTATAGACTGTTTTATTGATATTCTGTTGCTACAGCAACAGCTTTGGTTTCTGTTTACCTCCTGTCAGCTACTGCATTAACAAACATTCCAACAGGAAATACACTTGGACCTATTCACAATGTGTTTGTTGTCAAGTTTGAAACAGTCTGTAAACTGGCACTTGGAGTTATAAATGACCTGCTTATCAATGTTCAGATTTTAACTTCTCACATTTATTTTGGTTTCCCCCCACTCCTTCCTGTCAGTTGGCAAGTCGTTCACTCCGTCAGCAGGTCATTCCCATGCTGACGATACGTCTGCTCCTGACGGGAGGTTGTGACAGCCGTGATGACCACAGCAGAATGGTTCTCCAGACAGACCCCAGCACCCTGCTGCACCTCATCTCCACACTGGAGGCCGCTCTGGCTGCCATGAAAACCAGTCATGCTCGCCGCATATGTCGCAACATCAAATAACCCCCCAGGTCACTTTCTGTGTAACGTGTGCCTCCTGCCACCTGTGGAACATCACATCACTGCCTCCATACCTGGATACAATAAGCAGTGTCTCTCTGCTCTGCAGTGCAGTGTTGATCTGGTCCTGGATCAAAAACTAGGTTTTTGCCCATCTGTCTGGCAAATCGTCATCACTTTTTTACCCTTGAGTCACAATGCGTGCCGGATGGTATTGACTATATTGTATATAATGTTTCTACAGTACTGCTGATATTGTATTAAAGTGTAAAATGGAGATGAAACACTGTTCTTGTGGTTTGTAAAAGCCAACAGGGTAAAGGTAGAAAGGCCTTGGCTTTTTCTGTGTCAACATTTGACTGGAACGGAACATGAGTTTTTAAAGGAATAGTACACCCACAAAATGATCAGTTGTACATCAGCTACTCACCCCGTGTTACGTTGAATTTGTGACGGAAATGTGCTTTTCTTGCATGCCTCCATGGTGAACGAAGGATCCAAAAATGGAGGAAATTCTTGATGAATTAAAGTCATTGGGGGCCACCTTTAACAACAGCAGAACTATATCAAAACATCCATTTACAACCTCTCACACAACTCGTTCAGTATAATTAGATTATTATGTATCCAGTCGTATGCTTAATACACCCCGGCTTGACTGAGAGTGCTCTGTGGGTGCTGCAGATTAGCCTCACTCACTTTAGGACAATTGATGTCCTTAAAAAGTAACAGAAAGGTGAAAAAGTCATTTGTCAATGTAAATTTGACATCACTTAGATGACATTACAACCCCCATAACAAATACCACATATAGGTTGGACCGAAACTAAAGTCCTTTCCTTTTTTCTTCCACTTTTCTTTTCCTCTGTGGGTAATGACTGATCTTTTCTGTATGGTACCTGTTGTGGGAAAGAATTAAGAGAAGAATTTAAGTGAAACTGGACACTGTGTCAGTTGTGCATAAAGATTTGATACACGTTGCTTTTTACCCGTGCCTCTTTTAAACAATACAGACTCCTTTGTGAAACAGTACTTTTAAAATATAAAGACCAAATATGCAAAAAGGCATATTAAGACCAAATTGAACAGATATCACAGACTGCAGTTTAAGTATTTGTATTTAGTTACTTAAATAATGCTACAACCCCACATATAGGCTACTTTTACAGCAGATATTTTTTGCCTATAAATACTAAAAGGAATAATATAGCAATATATTACATTTACTTTGTCTGCTGAAGTTCAGGCTCATGTCACATGATAATAACCTGTGTACATGGTTTATATTTTGCTAACTTTATTTTTGCTTTTTTCCTGAGCTCCTGATGAGACTGATGCACGGTTATCGAACAGCAAAGGAGCAGTAGGCCTACACAAAAGTAAAAACCGAGGTTAAGTGACTTTCAGAGGAGTTTCTTCATTATATGAAAGTCTAAGTCATGAAAAATAAAAATGCAGCGGAACTTTTTAGTGCAATAGAATAACACATTTAAAAAAAGTGCTAGCCTTTAATTTTTTTAAAATATATATTTATACAATACAAATAACCTAAAGCCATGATGTTTGTACAAGAGAAACTGTTGAATACAAACATCAGGAGAGGAAAAGGAAGTGAGTCGGTGGTGTCAGGCATCACCTGACCGTCTCAGCTCCACACAGGAAGTCGGTTGGCGAATTCAACATGGCCGCTGTGTGCTAATAGAGGAGGAGTAGTCTAAGCTATGAAATACTGAGTCTTTCTCAGTCTCCAGGACAGTTGACTCGGTTCAGTGTGCTATCTGGTGTTGACGCTGGTCCGACATGGCCCAGTGTGTTCAGTCTGTGCAGGAGTTCGTCCAGGACTCGTTTGTCCCGATGGTGGCCGTCTTGTGTAGTGAAGAAGCGGAGAGAGTGACTCGCAAGAACAACCTGAATTTCGCCGAGCTGCTGCGGCCTTTCTGCAGACTAACGTCCGAAGGTGAGATAAACTCTTCACAAGCCACCATGTCTCCTGACTGCCAGTCCCACAGCTGTCACAGACGGAACTGTAGCGAGGGAGCTAGCATCGTTAGCTTGTAACGGGCTCTAACGTTAGTTGACATTAGCTCAGAGCTAACAGGCTGCTAGCAGACCGGGTTGTGTTGAAGCAGCTGTGTGTTGTTGATCGGAGGGGAGATGAAGTCCAGACTGACACCTGAGAGGGCCCAATGACACCTGAGCACTCTGCTCCTGACAGCAGCTCCCAGGGATAACTTTCAGACAAGTAGTTAATGATTCTGGTGCTCAGTTATCAAGAAATAGCTCGAGTAGTAAATAAGTTAATTGGCAATTAGGCTTTAGGTGCAGTCCAAACAAGAAGGCTAACTGCACAGAGCCAAGTGAAACCAAGATGAAAGCTGTGTCACAGAGCTTTGTCAACAACAGACTGCTCTGAGATCAGCTCGGCTGAAGGAGGGCGAGAGCTGTGCCCTGTCCTTCCTACATATATAATCGAGTTATCCAGATTATAATCTTGGCATGAGTCTGGATATTTTGGTTACTTGAAGCTGATTGAATTTATACACTGACTGTTGTGCAACAAGTCCATACGCCCAAACCTGCAAAAGGGCAGGCCCATTGACATTTGATCAGGACCAAGACATTTTATTGCACACCACTAGGGTTGCAGCGATTAGTCGACTAATCAATGACTAATCGACTATTAAAATAATCAGTGACTATTTAAGTAGGCGACTACTCGGTTTGAGTCATTTTTCATAGAAAAGTACTATAAAAGTACCCTAAAATACTCTTATTGCAACTTCTTATGTTCAAATATTGGTAGCTTTACACACTCTCCCATGAAAGTGAGCTAAACCCCTTTGACATGAGTACGAGACAAGATGACATAATTTGGGGGTTTGAGAGAGACAGACTAACATTTTTCGATAAAATGATTAGTCGACTAATAGAAGAAATAATTGACAGATTAGTCGTTAATGAAAATAATCGGTAGTTGCAGCCCTACACACCACAGACATGAAGTCATTTTCACAAACAACTGGCTCACTTACTCAGATTTGTAATTAAAGTGTTGATATGATTTTAGAAAGGTGATGTCAGGTGATGTGGGACATCAGGTAAAATGGGACAAATAAGGTTTTACATCCTGGGCTCATCAAATATTAGCAGCCAGTCACCATACAGGTTATTGCATTGTTACTACAATGTGCTTTACACGAAACAATCATTTGTATTGGTCTGATTTAACCAGTATGGGCAGAGCAAAGGTTCAACAATCACAGGTCCCATAACTTACAAAGTAAACCATGTGGCATGCTGATATACTCTTTTAGTCATAAGAGCTCTGCAGCTAAAATAATAAGAGTATAACAACAAAAATTGTTATAGGATGTTGCATTTTATTAAATGTTTGACTTGTAATAAAAATATTTTCACAATACTCTTTTCTTAGAATGAGAAAAGGTTTTAAATGAGTACTTATTGCATTCAGTTAGAACTGGACAAAAAAATAGCTAAAATGGAAAATTTTTCTGAAGTGAAACCATCATGTTTTTAGGCGACCAGGCGCCATAAAATCATGACTTGTGCAATTGTGTGCCACCCTGCCATATTACAGACATCTTTTGTATTTTTGTTACTCATAAAATAGTAAAGACAATGTAGTGAGACCATGTCAGCCACAACAGTCCAGAATTAGCCATTATCGTTACACACACGCCAGCACACAGGCATGTCCATTGTAGACAATATGGTACCAAGGAAACAGGCAACAAAACAACAGGGAAAGCACAACAGAGAATTTGGACAATTTAAAATGAATAGCGTCAGGTTGCAACGATTAAATGTCCCATTTTATCTGAACAGGTCATCGAATTGAGGCAGGGGTTTGTGATGTGTTTAAAGGTCCAAAGTTTTCTAAATTATTTTACTTGGCAAGATATTTTCTTTATAGAAATACAGCAGAGATCCATAACAAGTTCTAAAAGTACCACTCAAGGTAGAATTCAGAGTTTTAGGTGGTTTTCTTTGTAGTCAACCAAAAATTTGTCCCAAATTACATGACTTCACTGAAGCAAACATGCAGGTTATTGAGAAATCATTATAACCTGTTGATTTAAGTATCACAACAAAATGTTTATAATGAAGAGTTACCAATGTTGGGGAGTAGTGAACTATGTGTAGTTAAACTGGTAGTTTACCTACATTTTGCAGTAGCTTGCTGGTAGTTCAATTACATTCATATTTGCATAGTGACTCTAGTAGTTAAGTTACCTTTTTTTTTTGGACATTTTTCTGAGTTAACTTCTAAAACTACAAACAATTTTGGAACATAAAAGGAAATGAATGATTTTCTCACATTTTATTTTACCTTCTCTACTGTAGTTGAACCCCCTTTGACCTACCACGCCCATTCTCGGGGCTGTTGCAGGAAGCTGGATTGTCAGCTTTCCTGTGAAAAGTATTTGGCTACAGTCTTTAATGTTTTGAATCAGAATTTGTTAAATTAAGCTTGAAAATATTTGGTGTCAGTTAGTCATAATTGTTAATTATTGCTATTTGTTACGAATGTCCAGAGAAGTTATTGCATGATATTTAAGAAGTGTTTTGGCCAACTGTAAAATAACCCCACCTGGACACTAGTTTCTGGAAGGCAGGTGTCCAACTGATTGACATTGTATACAAAACCAAAGCTCACATTCTTTGCACTTTCTCATGAATAGTGGGGCATTTTATTTATTTATTAATTTATATACTTATTTTTGGTTTCTGTATGACCTGTGAAAAAGTGGGCACTTTTTGCAATAAGCTCAGTTGAGAGGCATTTTATTTGCTGGCATGTGACTTTTTGGTATTATATTTTGTTATGATTTCATATCACACTTAACATTGTCAATTTAATCTTTTTTTTTTTCTTCAAAGTAGTTTGAACGTAGCTCTAGTTAACCCAACTAGATTTCCTCCTAGGGTAGCTTTGATGTTGTTCAACTCCTTCCAGTGTGAAGTAATTGGTAGCTTGCAAAACAATGCTTTCCAAATAGCTTCCCCAAAACAGAGTTACCTGTAATTATATGTGAATAAATTATAAACAAAATACAGGTCTACAGGCAAAAGTAGCAATCCAAATTTAGTTTGAGATACTGTGAGTAAAAATAGTTCAACAAAAGATTCTGTCTTGAAAGACCAATCAGGACAGAAAAGCATTTAATTTGAAATGAAACTTTGTCATTTTAGCACCAAAATGTATTAAATTATGAACTTGCAAAACTCACTTTGCTTTGCAGTGTTTGATTGCTTTTTAAGT